GGGAAAACCAGTCTACATAGGGTTTGGTGCTATGTATGGTTTCTGGCATTCACAGAGGGCCTTAGAACATGTTCCCTGCAGATTAGGGAAGTTTCTCTAGGGAACATCTTCAAATATGGACTCATTGCTCAGTGCAAGTTCTAAAGCTTCCAACATCTCAGGAGATCCCTCAAGAGTTCATTCTGCTGGTAATAACAGACAATACCTGAGTCTAGGTAATTTAGGAGAATGGAGATTTATTGAGCTCACGGTTAAGAGATCCAAAGTCGGGGCCAGCAGGTGGCAGAGTGGTTAAGATGTTGGACTCCCGCATGGTCAACCATGATTGAAGTCCCAGACACACACGACAGCTTGAAACTCACTCCAAGTGTGTGTGTGTGTGTGTGTGCCCAAAATCCCTAGAGGAGAATGGAGGAGAAAAGATTTCAACAAGACCATCCCTCCTGAGAGCAGTGATTTCTCGTTTTATGTCTCTCTCTCCCATGTGTGCACACACCCTATAGCAAACAGAAAAAAATTTTTTAAGAGGTCTAAGTGCCAAAAGCCATGTTTGATGGGTTTTCCTGGCAGTGGGGTCCCAAGTCCATGTAGTGTCACATCAAAAAAACAGAAGGAGCAGGTGTCTCTGAGTGTGTGTCTCCCTTCCCTTATAAACCTACCAGAAATCAATCATAGGATGTCCACCCTAGCCAATCAATCGCTCCCAGAGACCCTGTCTTCCAAAACCATGAAGGTGTTAAATTTCTTCTTAACCTACTTTGCAATACGATCAAGTTCTAACACATGAGTTTTTTGGGAACACTCCAACCCAAGCAGTCATTCTGGTGTTTTTGTCCATTTCCTCAGTGGCCGACCAGGCCTTTGTCACGTTGGCCACCAATGATGTCTACTGCCAAGGGGCCCTGGTTTTGGGACAGTCACTGAGGAACCACAGAGTGACGAGGAAGCTGGTGGTATTGATCACCCCTCAAGTGACCAGCCTGCTCAGGTAAGATGTGCAGATGTCATGTGTGTCCACCTGGCTCTTTGTCCACTCATGGTCACTTATACCCTAGGACATCCTAGGGATTGTTGTGATATCTGACTGTCTTTGTCCACGGGCTTGGATGTCTGGAAAGCAGGATGGGCATCTGACGTTTGCAAGGTACCTTCAAAAACTCTTAACAGATTCAAATTTGTACAGTTCTGTGTTGAAAATGATGCACATGGTTATAGCCTTGACCTGATTGTGGCATACTGCATGCATGCCTTGAAAAACACATTGTATGAGGGACCAGCAGATGGCATAATGGTTACATTGCTAGATTCCCACATAGTTGACCACAGTTCGAGTCCTGGATCCAGTGGCTTAAAACTCACACTGGGCATGTGTGTGTGTG